TAGTTGGGACAGGCTTCATATTTTCTGGACTTTCAACAGGATGAAAAACAAATCCAAATACACTCACCATGGGAAATCTGCACATCTGTCACAAAGCGTTCTTTGCGAGGAAATTTGTGTGGTTTGGCCGCCAGATCAGCGATGCTCCTCATGATCTCATCCCACAGCGTTGCCAGCTCATCAGGGCGCTCCAGACTGCGAACAACATCTGATGGTACGGTTAGGATGATGTTTTCAAACTCCAACTCTGCCCAGGGTGACGGAGCTGTGCGCAGCAACGACCAATCAGCTGGTGTGGTCACGCCTGAAGAGAAAGAGGGTGGATGTGTTTAAAACTGAGCAATGAATGATTTATTTTACATACTACACACCAGTTATTACACATTCAGCAGAGACACAACACAGTGTCACCCAGCCACAGACTCACCTGATTTATAATATGGCGCAGGTACAGCCATCTGCACGGTGACCTCTAGGCCCTCCACTTTTGTTTTGGGAGGAGCCACAAGGTAGATGAGCCCCCCCCACAGGTTGAACACCTGCATCATTTGTGCGGTTATAGTAAACCGCGCATGAACACACGGTGCTCTCTTTACCACTCCAGCATTTAGGTGGTCTGTTTGACAACCTATCTGGATCTGAGGAAGACATATGATATGTGTTACTGACTGTAAGAATAATTTGTTCTATAAATAAAATAATGCTACCGATCCCCTAAAAGGCAAAACTGTCTTGTGAACACGAGAACGTTATTTAAAAAAATATGTGTCCAGGTTCCCTTAGGGTCCCCTTAGAATGCAATGCTGGATATATGGATAATCTGAGATTGCAGTACATGTAAAGACTGAATGGCACTATCTACCAGAAAGTGTTTTTCTCCTCATTTGTTGTTATCCGTGTGTGCTATTGGGACAACAGTGCATGTACTGTAGATGCAGTGACCAGTTGCTACCATATAATCCCATTTTATTTGTTGATGCAGTTTACATTCCTCCTAAATCAAATTTAAAAAATGCACTTTCAAGAATAAAACTAGTGTTTTTGTGTGGTTTTGTCCTGTTTTTATTTTTGTTGCATAAATGTACAAGGCTACAGCTGCATTTTACTGTGCAAACCTGTAAAAGTGACCCTTGAAACTTGCCTCCTAGATGTTGGGGGGAAGATGGGGCACTAATGCCTCTGCTGGGGATGTGCTTGATCACCTCTAGGAAAGTGAGCTGGGATATGTTAAGGGTAGGCCTAGTTGCTACTGGGCACAGTGGTATGCATGGCGTGGGCATTAACATAAACACAATTAACTCAGTTGAACTCAATATTGTTTTCAGCACCTTCCAGCCCTTGTTGACAATCTCTTCAGGCATGGCAATGTAGGTCTTCATACCAGGAGAGAGATAGAGACCTGTACTGATCCACTCCTCGGCTATAGACACAAATGCAACAAATACACATACAGTAATTAGATCATCAAGACCATATTTACATGGATAACATTTGAAATACGCATTTATCTTATTCCCTTTTAACTCTACGATCGGTAGACTAGTGCAATTTAACCATACAATCATTACTGCAAAATAAACAAAAAATAATCATGTTTGTGCAAATACTGTCTAAGGGTTCAACTCATAAACTACAAACTACATGTTCTTAACAACAAGGTCTTACCTGCTGTGTCAACATCAGTCTTGATTTTGTGGTTATAGACAACCGGCATCAAGGGGTTATCCTTGATGAGGTACGGCAGGAGAGCATCAGGGTTTGGGCAGACCTTATAAATCTCTGTCGCCAAACTGAGGAGCAGGTGGTCTTTGGGAGTCTTCACAGGGCAGCTGTCACACACCTTGGAAGAAAAATTATGAATTATCAAAGATGTTTCTGTGACACATCACTGGTTGTTAGCTGTGTAATCTTCTAGTTTAATTGTTTTGTCCACAAACCTGAGGCATACCTGACTTCATCACAATGGCAGTGAGGGAGGACACCACTTGTATATAGGAGGAGCATTCCTTGGCATCCATGTGCAAGAAGATGGAGCAGTCTCTGCCCAGCCGTTTGAGGTTTTCCTCCTCATGTTTGCTTAGTTTCTCCCCATGGGCTACATGGCCAGAGAAGCGGTGGAGAAGGTGGCGGAAGTGGTAGTTGTCTTTGATGAACTGTTTAGGCTCAGGGGCCTTGTGTAAACCTCCTCCGATTGTTCCTCTCAACAGACTCAAGCCCATTGTGTTCAGGATATGGTTACCTAAAAAGGCAAAACCTAACTTTATCTACTGTGTTTCATTGTTGAAATTAGTACAATGGCTTATAGAACATTTACAACTTAAGTTTATGCAGGTCTGTTACATATGTAAAGCAGTAGCTGGACATCCCATGGTAAATCCTCACTTTCCTGTTTGTAACTGAGCTTCAGTTACATGTTTGCCAGGGTCAATGGCCTATACTTAAGTAGCGGGGGGCCAAGCTCAATTAAGTCACTTTGTCAGTAAGTTATAAACTGTGTCTGGAACTTGTCTATTTCAAGCTTGAATCCTATTGGGCTTTATGAGCCTTCAACTCTGTTCAGTAGACAATTTTATAAGCATTTTAGAATTATCTATAATATTATTGTATTTATACTTTGAACACATGTTCTCTCATTCTAGTACTCACTACCATGTTAATGAATGAAAATGTGTGGGGATTTACCTATTACAGTTTTGAATTGTGATTTATGACTTATTGCCTATACATCCACACCAGCATAAGTATTTAGAAGGTATTACCCGAAATATGTTTAATATGCATTATGATGTGTTATCATGCATTTAACTATACATAATTATACAACTTTGGGGGTGCATTGCCATACCTGGGAAATGTGTTAGTTCGTTTTGCCCAGGGTGTACCTGTGCCCAATTCCAGGCATGTCCACCAATCAGCAGGCCTCCTCCCTCTGCCACAAACTCTTGGATTTCCTTCGCATGTTTATTGCTGTACGCTGTGCTCACAAAAACACTCAGACCTTCCTTGAACTCTGTCCTCTCACACTTTAACCCTGAATTGCTGAGAATAGCGAGGGGATGTTCTGATGCTACTCCAACGACCCCCTGCCGACCTTCATCCAGCCAATGAATGGCATTGTTCCAAAACGGAGCCAGTGTCTGTATTGAGACAGTTATCACAAGAAAGGAAGCAATTTGTTAATCACAAAAAATTCTGATGGCTATAAGTAAATATGTAACAAAATAAATAATACAATTATCTGTCTGAATGAGATCATCATTCTTTCAGACAATACATTTCACTACAAGAGCAAAATCTGTACTGAATTTTCACTTTTGAAGGTAGAAATTTCCTATTTGAATGTAAACTCTACCTGTCGTCCCAGAAATCCTTCATGTGAAATCACAATGACTCGTCCCTGCCCATAGTAGGATCCTGCCAGGAACGTCTGTCCATCCTTGGTGGTACCAATAGGAAAGGCAAGCGAGCCGTGGACCAGAATCTCAGAACTTACTGCTGAACCCTGGAGGTCAAACTCTGAAACCCCCGTGAGTAAAAACTCCAAGTCATCCTCAAAATCCTTACCGTTTCTGTTTGTGAAAGAGGACAAGGGAAGCATAGATGCCAACTATTTGGGTCAGTCTATTAATAACCATATAAATCATGTGAAAAGAAAAAAAATACCACTAAATATGGGCTATGTAGTAAGTTTTATCTTTTAATTTGGGTTTTGATTATTTTCCGTTTTGTTATGGATATCTAAATGACAGGAAAACCATTGGTGCATGGCATAATCCTCGGGTCACAAACATATCCTGACAAACAGCAGCTATGGCATATAATTATTATGATATACATAATATACTTAATGTAATGTATGGTACATAATATATTTGTTACAATAATTTCAACATGAATAATAGCATCATAGACACGTGGGCAAAATATTCCTAATAGAAGGTCTCCCTCTCAAATATTTTTTAAAAGTGCAATAAAAGAAAAGTAGAGTGTACACTTACACCACAGCCATCCATGACGATGGAACCTGAGGGTAGACAGGTAGATACTCTATCTCACCACGACTCTTAGAGAAGTAGATCCCCGCCACACCAGACACTTTATTTCCCTCAAATTGCAGCAGCGCGTTCTCTTTCGGATGGTTTGCAGCCCAGTGCCACGCCTGACCGGCTATCAGCACTCCTCCTCCAGCTTTCATGAATGCCACCAGGTTCTTTATGTCAGCACCCATGCTGTAGGCATCTGTCACATAGACACCAAACTCCCGGCTGTCACCTAAAGAACCAACCATTTTGACCTGGAAACTGGATTTGCTGAGGTTATCAGCGACAGCCTTCACTTTATTGTTGACCCCCACAGTGAGGTTGTCAGATCCTTCTCCTCTCAGCCAGGTCAGAGCGTTCTCTACCAGAGCAGGAAAAGCGGTCAGATAGCCCTCATGACCGAGGACCACAATCCTCCCACTGCCGTACAGAGAGGCTGCCATCAGGGTCTGGCCTTGGCTGTTCATTGCTAAAGGAAAGGAATGGTCTCCAATCAGCAACAAGTCACTGGGAACACAAGGGCCACGAAGGTCCAGCTCTTTCAAGCCTTTCATCAGGGACAGGTAGGCCCCTTCATTTTGATTTTGGGTGGGTTGGTTGGACATGGCTGGAAGGGTTGATGCACTGAGGGTTCACTGAAGAGGGTGGACAGCAGGATAGCAGAAACAGGTGTACAGTTCCACCTAGATGTTTGTTGTGCCAGTTGGTTTTCCAGCTGGATAAGAAAAAACAGAGAGGGAGAGATTCAAACAAGCATGAAGACCGAAAGTTTAGCTGTCATCCACCAAGTGCCAACAAAAAGAGTTTACAAATCTGCATTACAACCAAACACTACCTTAAAGCAAAGGTATTTACATTACCTGTAAGTCCAGTTTTATTTTGTCTTGTATTAGTAGGCAGTTTTTCAGGCAGGCAATCAACCAACGACACTACCTGGCGGAGAGAGGAGTGAAAATAGGTGAGAGTGAGAACAGGATGAACATCGCAGAGGTAATAACAATAGGAGCAGAGCCTTCAGTGAGCATATCCTAGTGAGAGGCTATTATTGACTCAGGGTTCTCAGTGTGTGAATATGACGCGTTGGACTGAGATACACCCTGAAATAACCTAACCTAAAAAACCTGCTCATCATGTAAGAGCAAGTCAATATTTGTAGATGTTGAGAGGGCAGGACATTGGAGCTTTGCACTCAACCAATAAGCCTATCTTAGTTTCTTGAAGAAATGTATGATGACCATTGAAGAACATTTTAAATTAAATGATAGTTCAAGTGGAGTGCCAAGATATGTGACGTGTGAGCCTTTTGTCAACTTTCTAAACATTTTTGCAACATGTAAATTGTGAATTACAATAAATAATATTATGTGAATGTACAAAGCAAGCTGCTTTTCTTTAATAAGCTTTAAGCAGCTCTCTCATATGCCTCTACAATAGATCAACAAAAGTGCTCTTCTAAACAAAGGGATTTTCTGCAACCAGACAGCCCACATGCATTACAAAACCTGTCCATCCTGTTATGGAAGCTGCTACAAAAAAAATCTAACGATATAATCAGACAGTGACGGGAGAAAATGACAAGCAAAAAGTCAAATGTCGCTTACACCAGTAAATGCATAGGTGGAACGTTTATCATTTTGATCCAATGTGTTCGTTTGACCTAGCTTTCTTCCTTAACTCTTGTCATTGAGTACATACTGTATGTGCGTCACTGTTCTGCGCAACACACAACCTAAACTCCTTAGATCGCGCAAAAAAGGACATTTAGGTGATGGTGAAATCACAAAGTGAAAAAAAGTCTAATTTACCATTCCGTTTTATCAATCCCTAACACATTACGTTACATTGTTAGTCCACAGATAACATAAAATCATTGTTTGGGTGTGTATGGAATCCCGGAAAAGTCAAAGTCAAAAGCGGAACCTTCGAGGGGATCATGTTTCCGAACGACCGTATTTTTATGATGGTCTGCGTCTACTACACTACAAAACATGCTCCATCCGGTTTGTTTTTCCTTCACTCAAACAAGCAACTCAGTAACAAAGAAATTGGGGCGAAACTAGTAATGTTACATATTTATTCATATACACAGCCCCCTTGTTGCGATAAGTAAAACTTCTATGTTTGATTTATTCATGCAGCGAGTCTTTCAGACATTGCACATTGTGTATTGTTCAGAGTAAAGCGGCAGTGTTGCTGTGCAGGTGCCCGCTCGCATGTCGTGCTTGCTGGTTGGTCCCTCCGGAGCCCGGGTCCCTCTGGAGGACCGACGAGCAGTGATTCTGGGCCGGGGGCCTGACACGGGGGTCACCGACAAGAAATGCTCCAGGCACCAAGGTAAGGAAAATGTCAAAGTAAAGGCATTGGTGCTTCCTCTTGTGACAGTACGCGCGGGCAATTTATTGTCAAATTGAGTCTATTAAACTGCAGGTCTGCTGCAACTATGGTTTCTTAAATCAAATAATGATACTTTAAAATTGCAGTATAACATTTATTCTGAGATTTTAAACTCGTTTTATTCCACTATCGGTTTTTATTTTTCAATTTGCATGGCTCTAAAGTGATATTCAAGTTTTAGGTTTGATTTTCGACAGTCAATGTGGTTTTATTAATCCGTTTCAGACTGACCAATCCAATGACACAAAACCAATGTTATTTTCAATAACTCCTTGCTAAATAGTTCACATCAATTAAACTTATTATTTACTTTCATTTCATTAAAAAAATCATATGAAAATGCACTTGCATCCAAAAAAAAGAGGTGTGTCCTACTTTTCCTGTGTAGTAATCATAGACTGTATGTAGTATGTAGTATTACAATTCTGAATTTAGACTGACTGGGTCACATAGCATGAAAGTTGTTGAAAAAACCAAGAGTATTCAATAAAAAACAGCATTAAAATATGCATTTAAAACAGAGATAGCACTACAATCCAATAAAAGAATATGTGGTTTGTGTGTCGAGTGCGGTATCACAGGACATTGGAAGCTATAATTCAAAAAATCATACTTTTAATAGAGAAACGTCTGAATTTTCACAACAACACTATTATGAAATAGCACCTAAATAACATGTAAAGAGTTGTTACAGACAGTAATATATTTCTTTATGGTTTTTGAGCCATAAAGTGTTTAATAAAAAACGAACTTATAGTAAAAACCAATAAAACTGGTAGTGTCCTACTCGTCCAGTAATTATGTCAGATAAGATACATTTATTATAATTTCCCCTAATATGGGCAATTTAGTGCAAAGGTATTGAACATTAGTTTTGTGTCTTTCAAGTGGTAAATTATTGGTGAATTGTAATCTGGAACCTTGTTTTAAACAACTATTTAAAAAAACCTCTTTGCAGTGTTGTTTAATAAATAGTGACTTCAACTACTAAATAATTATCAAGTTGTTATAAATTAGTTTACTTATGTTTTCAGCTCTAAATTAAAAGCCAAATATGTGTGTGCATGTGTCTGTATGTTTATATGATAATACTAATCCCTTTTTATTTCAGTGAAGGTGGTGGCTTGCTATGCAGACCAGGATGTCCTTGTTACACAGGTATGAAAACAAACACTTAAGCCCCACCCACATATCTCAGTTTATAGTTCAGTTAGTCTCCCTGTGAAGCTGTCCGACTAGAAAAACACCACTGCTTGACACACTAGACAACACTGGCAGGAATATTGGGCTGACCCAGCATTGTCAAGTATGTACTTCCTGGCAAGAGTCCCCTGTTGCGCATGTGGGATACTTGGGCACGAGGTGGAATCACAAATAATAACTCATTATTATATTCATATTCACTACTGTTACCCACAGATATTTCCCCTGTTTACTGAGGACAGGCCTTCAGTAAAGTACTAAGGTGCACCAGAGAAAACAAGTGTTGCTATTTAAATGTAAATAAATAAAATAACCCTAGTAATGTAACCCTTTTCAATGCCTGCAAGCTATTATAGCGATAACTAGCATAAACAGCTCAAACTCCCCTATGACACATATTTAACATGTTAAACTTAAGTCGCTTATGATTGACAAAAAAACACAGAGAGAGAGAGAGAGTAATTATTTGTCACAACAAGCGTCAGCTTCGTAATTTTAACTGAAAACCTTATGTCAGCTCACCTCACCGCACTATAACCTCACAGTATCTGTACAAAGACTCTAGTTTAATGTCCATACATTTCTATTTTCTTCCACAGCTGGGTCCCAATCCCAGTTTCTTGGATGATAAGAAGCTGGGTCGAAGCCAGTCAGGTAAACTCACCCATGGAGGCACCATCTTCCTGGTAGATCAGAAGTACCCGTTTAAACTGCGCTACTCTGTGAGCCCAAACGGATCAGCCGCCAACGAATCACGAAAAGGACTTAAAGCCACGGATAAGACAAAAGGAGGAAGAAACGGGCAAGAGAAAGAGGCACAGTCCAGTCCAAATATCCAGCGCAGTATAAAGGATTTCTGTTCTAAATCTCCTACGAAGGTATCCCCTCTGTCACTGTGTTCAAATCGATTTAGTGTCTTTTTCACATGTATCATAGTTGCTTATTCCAGCAAAAATAACGTTTACTAAAATAAATGGAAGTCAAGCTGGTGAAAAGAAGTGTATTTTAATTTGTTTTTCTGTTTAGTCGTCTAAAAGAAAGCTGAGTCCAGAGAGGGGCAGCCCTAAAGTTAAACGCCGAAGAAGAGATGAGGAGGCCTCAGAAAGACAAGTAAAGGAAGTGGAAGAGGATGATGAGGAGGAGAGAATAGCTGATGAAAAGCTCAAGCAGCTGCAGTCGTGGGCAGAGAAGTCAATAGCAGAGAGGAGTAATAGCACACAGCCTTCATCATCTTCGAAAGGCTGTCTCAAGAGCAGCTGGCAGCAGATCGGCAATCTGATGCTCTACACTGCTGCTGGTGTCGAAGGAAGTGACAAGGTGAGACTTCTTGCAATGTGCTTATTTTTAAATGTAGTATTTCTTTAGTTTCTAAGGTCAGAAAATCAAACAGTGTTGTGGTAAGTAACCTGATATTTCAATGTTATCGTTTCATATAACATTTTGGCCCTTTTGATAAAATAGGAAATATTGCAGAAATATTTAAATTAAAAAAACTCTTGTCATGTTAAAAATCAGCCATTGAATAAAAATCACAATTTTAGAAAATGCTAGTTCTGCCACTGTAGATCAATCAACGATAAGTCTGTTAATGTATTAGTTGCACAAATAAGCTAAGAAAAAAATATTGATATCATTGTAAATTGAATAACTTATTGGACTATTGGTTGGACAGTACAATTCATATATTTCTTATATATTAAAAATCCAGAAATATTCCTTATTTTAATCAATAATACAAATAATTAACGGCATCATCTTTAGTCACAGGAAGTGACTAATAAAACCTTAACAGCTGTTGTTCTTTAAACACAGAAATGTCCACTATAAAAACATTTGTTCACTTCCTGATTCGAATTGTCAAATTGATTATATATGTTGTCATTTTTTATTGTCGACATATTTTTTCCAGTGTTTTTTTTATTTCCTTTTCATATTTTAATTGATTATTTTCTGCACTAAAACACCAAGGCCAATTCCTTGTAAGGGGAAACCTACTTGGCAATAAACCAATTTCTGATCTTGATAAGGTTTTACTTAGATCACCTTAAATGATTTCTGGTGCAGCTGAAGTGTAATCGCGGAACATTCCTCTCGTTGTCTTTCTCCAGATTGCTGGGTTTGACATAGATGGTTGCATCATCACTACCAAGTCTGGTAAAGTCTTTCCCACTTCGCCAGATGACTGGAGGTATGTCTGCACTCCTTAATATACTATTTGAAATAGTTACTCATCATTATATCATGAATTGTCATATTTATTTAAGTATTTAATTTACAGGATTTTGTATCCTGAGATTCAGCCCAGGCTGGCCAGCCTGCTTAAGAAAGGATACAAGGTGAGGAGAGTCAAGACGCAACAGTTGCAATTACAATATAGTGCAGTTTAGAAGATGATAACCTGTGAAATATGCAACAAAACTGTACCTAGTCTACCCTGTCTTTGTTTTTATAGGTGGTGTTCTTCACCAACCAGATGGGCATTGCTAGAGGCAAACTGAGACCAGAAGTCTTCAAGTCTAAAGTAGAGGACATCCTCACCAAGCTGCAGCTACCTGTGCAGGTTGGTCGTGTTGTGTATTAATTCAATTAATTAAGCAATCTTTTTCCTAATATTGTACAAAAAAAGGTTATTGTATCCCCACATTGTCTGTGTTTCAGGTGTTTGTAGCAGCGGGTTCTGGTATATACAGGAAACCAGTGATGGGAATGTGGAATCACTTGTGCGACAAGGTAAATGTTTCGGAGTCGCATGAACACACACCCATGTTATTTCAGAAGTAAACCTCAGAGACGGTTTGCATTGTGCAAAGTCTAAACTTCTGTACACTCATTTAAGCTGAGTCATAGGAGCCGCCCGTTAACCCATCCCCGGAGCTGTATCTTCAGGTTTGATAATAGTCTATTTCTGATCTTTGTCTTTGCTTGTGTTCCCTACTCAGGCGAATGATGGCGTGACTGTTGACAAGACACAGACCTTTTATGTGGGAGGTGAGTTAGGGTGGGCGTGAAGTAATGTTGCCATGGTGATAAACATCCCATGCTTAAAGGTTGCCAAACGTGTTCCCAGTTATGAGGTACGGTATGACAGAGAAGGACACACACACATGTATTTATTTTTGTTTTCAAAACATAACTTTGTGTTCACTGTTATAGGCCTAATACTAAAACTACACTTAAAGGGGCCCTATTGTGCTTTTCGGGTTTTCCCTTTCCTCTAGTATGGTGTATATAGGTTTTTGTGTGCATGTAAACGGTCTACAAAGGGTGAAAAGAGGTGCTGCAGCACAGGCAGTATGAGGAAAATAAAGAGCTTTTTGAACATTAAATAATGTAAACATGTCACAGTCGAGACACAAAATACAAATATAAACCTGAAAAAGAGCAGACTATGTCCCCTTTAACAGCCAATGTGATGCCTAGATCTGAATCTACCCCCCAAGCCAAGCAATGATGAAGAATGAACAACTTCAAAATCCCAAACGTGCACACAGAGCCTCAGACTTTACCTTTGTGCACAGATGCTGCAGGTAGGCCGGAGAACTGGGCTCCAGGGAGGAAGAAGAAAGATTTCTCCTGCAGTGACAGAATAGTAAGACTCAAGATTTTTACTCTGATTATTGTTTACTGCTTTGTGCCGTTCCTCCTCTTCCTCCTACTGCCATGACGTTTTATGTTTGTTTCTTAAATGTCATTAAAACATCATGTAAATGAATATGACTCAATGTTTCTTATGACCCATTCATGTGGAAAGGTTGCACACCACTGACACAATGTGAGCATTATGTACCCACTACAGTCTTCCTTCTTGTTTTTCTAGTTTGCTCTGAACATTGGGTTGCAGTTTCACACCCCAGAGGAGTTTTTCCTGGGATGGAAGAGTGCCCCCTACAGCCTGCCTCATTTTGACCCTGTGAGTACAATTTAGTTATGACATTACATTTGTCTGTTTGATCTGATTCTGTTAAACATATTTCTTTACCTGGACCTTTTAGAGGACAATTGACTCCACTGCGAGACTCTACGACCCCCCGACTGCCTCATTAACCTCCAGCAAGACAGAAGTCATTGTTGCGGTGGGCTTCCCTGCATGTAAGAGGAGAAGCGTTGTGTATATTTCACCTTTTCTGTCCTCTCCTCCCACCAAGGTTTCCCAGCAGTTAAATCTAATATTCTTTCCTCTGCTTCCTCGTTGAAAAGCTGGTAAATCCACGTTCTTCAACACCCACGTCATTCCCAAAGGCTATGTTTACGTCAACAGGGTGAGTGGATCTTAATAAACAGGGCTCCTGTTCTTCCCCAGTACTGAATGCGTTCAGAGCATCTGTTTTTATACAGTGGTGATAAGTCACTAAGTGCATTTACTTTACTTAACTACAAATTTGAGATACTTTTACAATGTATACTTTTACTGTGCTACATTTTCGAGGTGTATATTGTAACAAATGTCTTGTAAATTCATAGACCAACAAATGCATATTTAATGATTAGCCTATATATGAATTAAAGGTAACCATTTTGATCTTTTCAGTTGTTAGTAGTGTGAAAAAGCTTCATGTTTGCTTCTCAAATGCAAGGAATACTTCTTTCACCACTGGTTTTATACATATATTATTGTTGGTTTACTTTGTTTATTTCCTACCCTGATGGCATATTTGATACACAAGTTTCTAACTGTTTTAACGATTGTATCGCAATAATAATGAGAACCTCACGGTTTAGACACATTTGAGTATTGTTATTTTATACCATACTGTGGGCACTTCTGTTAGTCTTCCCTGACATGTTCTGACCCAGCACTATTGATGGTTTGTATCAGGACACACTCGGTTCGTGGCAGAGCTGTGTGACATTATGTGAGCGTTCTCTGAAGGAGGGCCGCAGCGTCGTCGTGGACAACACCAACCCAGACCCGGAGTCTCGCAAACGGTAAAGCAAAACTGAAACTCAATTATTGACCAAACTCTTGGCAAAAAGTATTCAAGCTCCCTGTAAGTATTAGCTGAGTTTTTAGCCAGTTTTAATGGACCAGCGGACAGCACAAGCCCAATTTGTGTCAGCTAAGGACAGAGAAATGATGTAGGCACAAAAAAAAAATGGGATAGTACCGTTGTTACTGAGTATTGGATCTCAGCCAACAGAGATACCACAAAAACAGGGATGGTAGTAGAGATTGTAGGTCATGAAACAATACACCTTATCTCATAACAAAGAACAAATCAAACCCATTAATTTTTTTTTGAAAAATGATAGTCATACCAAACAGCTGGTGTCAAAATGTTTATCTAATCACATTTTCAAAATGTTTAAAATGTAAACCTTGTCTTTTAAATTGATCGTTTTCAATACTGCATGTCATGATCCTGGCCACTAAAGCTGCATTCTGTAAATATTTTTGGTTAAATGATAATCCTCTTCATTTATTTTAACCCACATTAAACCCAATCTGTGTCGAAATGCTTTTCATGTCTTGTGTGACAGATATGTGGACGTCGCCAAGGCAGCCGGAGTGCCGTGTCGCTGTTTCCACTTCTCCGCCTCTCTGGAGCAAGCCAAACACAACAACAGAGTATGACTCTCCTCTAAACTCACTCTTCACTCTTTGGTTGCTTTATCCTGTTTTTATTCACCAGTGTTTGTATTCATGCACATTTGTTTTCAGTTCCGAGAGATGAATCCATCAGAGAGCAAACATATGAAGGTCAATGACATGATTTTCCACAGCTTCAAGTGAGTGACACTGACGATGTTTCCTATAAACTTATAATATAATATATATATCTATAATATAATATATATAATATATATCTAACCCTTATAATATATAAACCGTTTCTTGTGCAAAAAAGCTTAGCACTGAGGTTAAGTAAATCTAGCTAAATGCATGCTACACAGATTCTTCTTCTTTGCTTCCTGTTATGAAAAAACAAACTTCATCTTGGTAATAGTTTTACTGGTAGTGGCTCTGGTACTGATCTGAATCTCTTTCTGGACAGGAAACACTTTCTGGCTCCTGCTCTCTCCGAGGGATACTCCGAGATCCTCCAGATCCACTTTGTGCCGAACTTTAAAGACAGCCAATCAGAAATCCTGTTCAGGCAGTTTTCTGAGGGCTGATTGGAGGATAGGCTTCTAACAACTTTGACCTCCACATTCTCCCTGCCACAGCAAAAATAGAGATAACAGCCAGTGAAGCAGCTGAGGTGTGAGATCTGAGATTTGTGCAGAGCTGATTGTCATTGCTCACAGTATTATGCAATCTGAATGGCTAACTACAACAATGATAGAAGACCTGTAATGGTAACTAAACTTGGATTAAATCAGTGTTTGATCTACATTATTATGTCAATGTACAGATATATTTCCATATGATATATCTGCCTAGTTTCATGCATATGTTATACATGTTCAGTATATAAATAATTCAGTGTTAAAAAGAGGAATATTTGGTTTTTATATCGTGTATAATAAGGACGTCCTTCTGAGTGAATTAACTCTCATCTATTTGACAATAAAGCTTTGGAAAACACTTGATATCACTGTCTACGATTGTCCTTTATTCCTGTGTGAGCTATATTGAAAACTGCATTACGTTATTTTGGCGTAAATCTTGGCGGTTCTCAGCTGATGGATTATTGGTGTTCGACCTCGGGCAGGAACTGGATCTCTTGACCCAGATGCTGTTTCAGCCACGGCATTATCTTGAAAAGGTCGATGTGAAAGTCTCGTGCATCGGGAGGCGGATTGTCGCTGGTCCATCTGAGGCCTGTGTCACATACGTTTGTGGTGCCCCAGCTCACTACTCCCACCTGGAGATGAAAGTAGGAAAAACGTCTATATGATTCTGATTGGAAAAAATATGTTGTTTGATAAGAAATAACTTCTTATTGACCTGAAAGTAACGCTTTCTTTTTTGCAGATAAAGGGATCCACCAGAGTCCCCTTAAAGAAAAGAGACAACATTAATGTGAATCCCATGTTGGTCAAACTGGCAGAGAGATACAGTAAGTGCAGAGTCCAAACCTTTACAGGTGATGGGGTCCTTATATGCTGTGGACCCCCCAGTACACAGGAATCTGTCTGGTATGTACTCATCCAAAGTCACATTGGTGGGGTCTTTGAGTGTTTGCCTTGCCTTCTCCACACAGCTGGGTCTCTGCAGACAGAAAACGAGTTACATTTCAACACTTTCACAATAAAACAGAAGTATATCCTCAAGGCAGTGCTAAGAAAAGGAGTGGGATTCTTAAGTAAAAATAGATGGAAACACTAATTACAATTAAAAGTCCTTAAGTAAAAATATGTAAGTATTATCATTAAATGTACACAATAGTATTAAACAGTAGCACTCTTATAGATCTTTTTTAAATATAATATTCAATTATATCGCTGGCAATTATGTATTAATGCTGTTCATCAATGTCTAGCCAATTTACACGTATTTTACCTTGTACAACACTTTTATAATAATATAGTATAGTACGGCATCACAACAGCAAAACGTGTGTTTTATATTTTAGAAGTTTCTAGTTATTTAGTTTCAAATAAATGTAGTAAATGTTCAATATTTTCCTCTCAAATGTAATTCAGTAGAAGTTTAAAAAAGCATAACATAGAAATACTTAAGTACAAGTACCTCAAAATAGTATATAAGTACAGTATTAAATATACTTAGTATACTAAGCACAACCCACCACTGCCTCCACATTATTAATTGAGTGTGAGCTATAATGAAGCCCACAGTCTTTTCATCGACTGTCACTCACATGACTCTCCATCTGGATATGTGTTTGTTTGATTTTGTCGTTCTTATTGATGAAAAAGGCGGCTGTCTCCTCGTGCGGTAGTAGTGCCTTCCCTGTATCGACAGATACATTTTGTATTAAAATACTATGGGATCTTTCAGGATTTTCTTTTTGAATTCTGAGTCTGAATTCTACGTTTTATTAAAATAATTACAATTTAACATTGTTGCAATATATTTGTTATACTCCTAGTAATATGAATGCTTCTGTGCAGTCAAAAGTTCACTTACTGTGCTCCTGACAGGTGGAGTTGACTCTCTTCATGGCTCTGCTGGCTGCCACAGTACATGGCAAGCAGATAGGCCTGGAGTGTGACACACACACACACACACACACACACACACACACACACACACACACACACACACACACACACACACACACACACACATACAATTAATCTTAATTAACGCGTTAAAGTCCCGGCCCTAAAAATAATATAAACCATAACATAAAAAAGAAAGAAATGTCTTGTAAATAAAATGATAAGTAATAATTAAAAAGCTCATTTTTTGGGTGTATCACTTGTGTCTAACAACATTTTTTCCTCCTGCTGTCTTACCTGGCTTTCCATGAGAGCGGGATACTCTTGGTCACCTGAACCAGAGCTACATCGTAGTCGTAGAACTCCGATACATTTCTGTGTTTGAGCGCCCTGATGTTGTACTTTGGGTGCATGATCACCCTCTCGGAAACCACCCTGCCCTCACCTGGGAGACAAAGAAGCAGCTTGTCATTTCATGAAGTTAATAGAAAACCTATCTAGACCTTCTGTTTGACACAATCTGTTACTGTAGGCAATAACACTTGGAGAGTTTATGTTTTGACTCGAGAAAACTAATGCCAGAAATCTATGAAACTGTTGATTCTTTTGCACATTTTCAACCCTGTTCCCATACCGGGAATTGAACGGGTTGGGTTGTAATCTTTCTGCACAACACATGAACTCTCTCAATTATATATGTACTGTATAAATGATATCTAAATACTTTATGTTCATTGTCTGGGGCCCTATTCTCAAGCTTCCTATAGCTAATTGGGACATTACACATATCTCCATTATCTCGTATGATTGTAGTTGTATTTTTATTGACACTTGTGAATAAATAAATTAAAGTAACCGGGGTGAAAACCAGGAATCCTAACCGCTAGAGTAGACTATGTGCGACTTGTTTATTTGTTTTATTTAGGATTAGTTTTCTATTTGTTGATATGTACTATGCAATTTTTCAATACACTATCCCATGTCGTTTGTTTGCATATTTTCAACATACTACATACTATGTTATTATTTCCAATATTCTGGAAGTACTATACTATGTCGTTTTTTCTGACAATTTGAACATACTCTACTATGTTTTTCTTTTATCTTTAAAAGATGTTCCTTTGATGACACTGACCGTAATCAATGTGCACCTTCGGAGGGTCTTCTGTGCTCGCCCTGGCGAAGCAGTGAGCAGCTGTCAGCACCCAGTTCTGGCTCACAATGGATCCAACACACGCTGGCGTTATCTATAAGAAAGGAAAAGTTTTATTGTGTGAAAATCCAATTTCTCCATTATAATTTTAGTGACTGACCTTAGACTTAGACTGACCTTATTGATTGTTTCCACAGTGACATGCCAGGGTCTGGTGAAGGTTTTCGTATACTCCTCCCATTCCTGAGCTATCCCACACATGGTCACACTCTTGTCACCTGGATTATGAGACATTTTAATGGTTAGACTTAAGTAACTCAAATATTGGTATGATGTTTTTTTTTTTTAAACGAGCAAACATGTTTTTTAGATAGCCGGAAAGGCAAGGGGGAAGTACATTTCTGATGTAGTCTGCTCTCAATTGTTTTAGCATGTGTTTAAAACTTTAAATTCCTCAAATAATATTATTTTATCTGTGAAACAAATGTGCGAAAAGATAGGCAGGTAAAAAATGCCAAGATTGTTTCTCAAATTATAATTATTTAATACATTTGAAAAACATAAAGAAAATATTTGCCAATGAGTTTTTAAAAAAATGGTCAGGAGTATTTTCTGAGTCCTTTCTGTTGTTGTATTTATTCTGTGGAGCAATATGGTCACTTGTGGTTGAATTTAGTATGACAACAATAATAAACACTCAACATTTATTTTTCAATAAACACATAAAATAGAATAATTAAGCTAAAAAAATACGACAGATTGATTTTGTCCTTTGCCTTTCAGGGCCTTTGTATATTTTATGTTCTCAAATGTTAATCTTCTTCTGACTTTAGAGCTGAAATCTGTCCAAGAGTGATCTCCCACTTACTTATGATGCTGTTGAAAACCTCTCCAAGTATTTGGTAGTCTCGCACAACGAATAAGTGCTGCTCACCACGTTTCTTTGAGGCCAAGGAGTTCAACTGATCTTTTTTTACTTTGCTGCCAATACCAAATACATAGACATCTGCAAACAGACACACAACTTATAGGCAAAGCAACCATGTCAACACACTAAAACTAACTTGCTTTCCATGCTAGGTTTATGATGCACATTTAAACTAACTATTGTACATGGTCCATTAAAACATATTACAAACATTCTTAAATCTTGATACCCAGCTTGGTTTCATCTGTGTTATCACTGGTTTGATCTCTGTAACCTAGCAGATTCCGGATTTGGGCCAGGGCAATCTCAGGCTTTTTGCCTGTGTTGGAGTAACCTGCAGGCAGAAAGACATAAAGAGGGTATGAACGCCTTCACTGTATCCTAAAGTTAACCCTCTTATGTCTTACAAGCTCTAATGAGTTGTAAAATATTTTCATGAGCTGGAGATGCTCAAAAGATGCTGTTGTAAGACATTTGTCTGTGTTTTTACCGTCTGTTTCTATAATTATGATGTTTTGAGTCTCATTAAAATGGTTGTTGGCGCTGTTTTGCTTGAGGAAGTTGATCTTCTCACTGACTCTATAGAGGGCAGCGTAGAGGTTAGTTCCTGTCTTACGCCCATGGCCTGCAGATGTACAGATGCAAAAGATAGGACATTTCTTGAACTATTAAACACATGGTACATCATGGTTGTAGCCTGGTCATTAGATGAAAGCTTTAAGCGAATGAATGAGGACAGTCCTACTGGTATAGTTGAAACCCTCCAGAATCCAAATGATGTCGTCAATGTTTCCACTGATATCCGAGTATGTGATGTCTACAATGTCTTTTACCATAGTGGCAAATGACAACACATGGAACCTCAGCTGAACCTCGTAGCTGTCCAACTAGAAGGAAAATACAAAAAATACATGTGGTCTATGTTTCAAACCTACTGAGAGGGGAAGACAGGAAAAAACGATAGCACCAAATTTAAAAAAATGGTCTCTGTCTTTCACCCACACCTGTTGAAGCAAGTAAGCTTGTGAGACACAGACCTTTCTGATGAGAGCAATGGTTGCATTCCTGGATAAATCAAAGTCCTGCTTTGTGATGCTTCCTGATGTGTCCAGTAAAATGTAAAAGTTTATACGACTGCCTTCAGACACAAGGACGGTGCGGGCAAAGGACGCCGACGATTCTAACATGCACAGATTAAGAAAAAACAATTGCAGTTTCATTCAGTATGGTTCCCTTTGATTTTGCAGTTAAAACTGTTGTGTTGTTTATGCACTGTTGAAATGTCATGTTGGAAATCTCTGTTACAAGTCATACTAACCAGTCTTTTTGGAGTCCGGTGAGATAACATCCATGACTCCTGCAAAGGACCCGGCCATGGCTGCTGCCACAACACTGGGGGAGTCAAACATATGTGCGCCTGCAGAAAAGCACAAAGATGTCAAGGATTGTATATAATTATGTAATAATTCACAGTGTACTGTTCTGGCACTGCTTTGATGTCCAATGCTGCAGATCATTGTTTGGCCTTAAAAAATGTGCTTCTGTTATTTTAAAGGTAAAACATCAAAAGCTCCTCTGCACCTTGGCAGCGTGGTGTTGAGCCGCTCCACTCCCTGTTCTCCAGACACTCCCTTTCAGCCGACCCGAGCAGATCCAGACCAGCCTGGCAGCGGTAGATCACTTTCTCCCCTGTTTGAAAGCGACCCTCTGACCTCGAAGCCCCCGGTGGGATGCCTGGGTTACTACAGTCGTCAGCTGCAGCGTGGCGACAGGTAGCAGAATATACAATGTGTAGAGGAAACTTCTGTGTAGCTATGCAGTGGCCAGTGGGAGTCACCGACTCAGGAAGGAGACACGGGAAGAGCAGTAGCTTTGATGTCAAACACATGATGGTTTATTTGGAGTTAACGGCCGGAGGATTCACATCACAAGTCCAAGAGTCAGAGGTTCTGACTTCACGGTAGAGTTGCCACGTCAATTCTGAAGAACTCTACCCCAGACCCATGTATTTAGCTAGTTCAGAGAGCATCATCAACATGCTGCATAACAAGATAGAATGATAACACCTCTATCAGCTGACGCCAACAGGCAGGAACAGGGAGACAAAACACTGAGAGCACAGCAGCCAAGGTTACAGGTGCCTGTGCTCAGTCAGGACAGTTTGAACTGATACACTGGGTCAAAGTTATGGGCCTTGGAAAATATTCCACAACACAATGAATACTATTATTTATTTTTGTTTATATCCATTGATTTAGAGCAGATATGTATGTCTGTGCTTGTATTCAAATGTTCAGAACATAACTTTATTTGTAATAAAAAAAATATTTGGGCTGTCTCACTCACTGAGAGTGGGACTTGGCACCATGCCAATACATGCCTGTTTGCCATACTGGCTCCAAAATGGTGGAATGAGCTCCACAGAGATATCAAAACAGCAGAAAGTCTACACATTATCTGTCGCAAAATGAAAACCTATCTGTTTTGACTGCACCTTGGACAGGAAAATACTTTTAAAAATAAATAATATTTTTTTTAAAGTATAATTTCTGTATGTAGCACTTAAAATGGTTTGGCTTATTTGAAGATAATGCAATTGCAGGATTATTTCAAAATGTGTACTCTCATGGTTGATTGCAGTTGTTGCTTTGAAAAGAAGCACCAGTTTAATGAAATGTATGGTAAGACATTGAATTCAATCAGTGACCTGTTTTGTGTCACAGTAACCACAGTAAACTACAGTATGAAATCTATTTACAGGGATAATTATATGCATTCATCAAAAGCTGCTTTACAATGTAAACCTAAGTAAGCAAGAGCTTAGTCAGTGCATGCTCACTGTACCATAGGCTCTAATACACCTGATAATGGGAGCTCGGGGCCTCATGTACTTAAAGTGGATATTCTTTGTTATTCTATATTGCACTGAGGTGTAGTAAGAGGAAAAAACGCAGCCATATTGTAGTCAGACACATGATTTCTGCTTTATCATGAGTGAGGTTTGTTATATTGTCCGTCCTCACCGTGGTTGTCACAGATGGGAGTGGTTCCTGTCCACTCCCCAGACATGGTGCAGTTCCTCTGGGCTGAGCCGTACAGGGTGAACCCTTCCTGGCAGGAGAAGGTCTGCGTCGTCCCAACACGGGCCCACTGGTCCCGGGGCCAGAAGTCACCGTGATCCAGCTGGAGCTGAGCCGGACACAAGATGTCTGGGAGCAGAAGAGAGGTGGAAAAGAGGATCAAGGGTTAGGAGAAGAGGATGCATTGAGAGGTTAATACATTTGAATATACTAAACCAAAGGTAATCGTCACCCAAACTATTACCTTTGCATATGGCCCGTGAAATCTGTCTTCCATTGTTTGATCTCATGACCGACCACTCCTTATCATCGCCGCAGAGCCTGGAGCTGACCGGGAAAGGGTATTGGTCCGGGCCACAGTGATAAGTCAGCACACTTCCCTCCATCCCTCCCTGCAGAGGAAGCACATGGTCACTTTTGGAGCTAAATCGAGAGACAGAAAGATTTCCAGTAAAGGGATTCTTGATTCCTTTCACTTCCCTGACCTCGTAGTTCCTTTTTTTATAATGATTCAATAGTGAGAAATGCAGTGCTGTGCCTTACTTTGTCCCTGTTTTACATTTCTAAAATTGGATTATTATACATATTGTGTTTTTGTCATATACATAATGGAACAACTACATCAGGGTAGAGCTGAAACGAATGCCTATACACAATATCATCTTTCATTTTGATGTAAAATGTGACCACCTAGACTTTTTGTCATGAAGTAATTAAAGGCTTTATTAAGGTTCAGAGTAGAGCTGCAATTAATAATCGTTTTCACTGTGGATTTATCAAACTACTTTCTCCCTCATTGAATTAACACATGGTCTTTACATTTATTTAACACATTTTTTAATTATCTATTGAGAAGTAACTATTCAAAAAGGTGATTTATTTTCAAATTGTGTCCGACCACCTACCACCAAAACAATATTACATTTAAAACGATAAAAGAGAGCAAAGCATTACATTTATTTAGTTTTTTTGTATTTAATTTTGAAGATAAACCTAGAGAATATTTGGTGGTATTTGTCATGGTGTGACAAAGGTGTCTGTGATTACATTTTCTGTCCTCTTCAAAATCAGTGACACAGCTGATATGTTCAGCTCAGTGCTCAGAATCAGATCAGAAATCCTTTATTAGTCCCACAGCGGGAACAATATGTTATCTTTACCTGTGAGTAGGTGACATTTCCACCTTTGATGTTCTCGGTGGTTGAGCAGCTCAGAGGCTGTAGATCCTCGTATGTTTCATCATCATAATTATACTCCTGCAGTGACACTTGAGCACACACAGAAATAAACATGCATCACTTCATGCAAGGATAATCAAACAGTGGACACAGACACAAGAGTCAAAACAGCCATATGGTTCCATGTAAATTGGATGTAATTACACTCAGTAATATACAATTAAAATGCTCACCCTCTTGGACAGAACTGAAGAGTAGGATCCAAAGTATTGGTTTGACATACATGACTGCACTCTATCAGTGCTTTGTGTCTTTGAGTGACAGAAACCACAGCAAGAGTGTCCTTATCGAACAACAGTCAACCGCTTTATTTGATGACCGATTACCCATTAACACAGCAGCACCAAACAGGGAACAAATGATTGAGCAATTTAGGTCAGAACACAGATTTGAGCTCTAACTTTCATTTTTGATTGCAAAAGGATTCTCTTTTTAGGATTCTGTGGAGTTTAATATGTCTCTGGTGACTTTTTGGGATAGCTTATTAATTTAAAGTCAAGAGTGGTCTCATAAAGGGTTTTTCCAAACCTTTTAAAATAAAGTCTATCAGGGCACTTAACTGAAGTGCAATGAGCCTGTTAATGCAGTCTTTAATCTCACAATCTCAGCATGAATTGCGTTAATTCAGCATTGTCAAATTTAATCTCAGCACAAAGCCGTTTTTATTAATGCCTAATAACCCCAAATTATTACTCAAGACCGTCTCTGTGCCAATGCTATGGGCTTTTAAAGTGTGTGTTGTGCTCATGTGTATTTGTTTTATGTATTAATGCACCTGCTAGCCAAGGTTTGGGCATGAAAACGTATGTGAATAAAACATTTTAGGAGCTTAAAAGATCATTATGGGGATTATTGAGCTTTAACAGGGACCCACACCTCCACCCTCACCCCATCTCTCCTTTCCCCCGTCCTCCCTCCTCCTCCGAGGGGCTCAGTCCTCTCAGCTGACTCGGATTTGTTCAACACTGTGAAGGAGTTTCTAAAACTCCTTTGTAACCACTCACCTACACACAGAAATACAGACTAGTGCTGCAAAAACAGACCCAAGGCTACAGGATAGCAACAAACATGGATATTCTGTTAACTGGAGTTTGACAATTATTTTACGTGAATTACATTGTTTTCGTTTTTTAGTTTTTTATCTGGATTACATTTATGGATGTCCAACAAAGAGCTCTGCTGTGCTGGGAGAGTGAAGGCAGTAAGCTTACTAAACCAAGGTGGAAGTTTACTGTAGGAGCCAGAAGTGAACAATGTTAAGAAAACCAAGGAAAATATCTTTAACACTCCCTCATGTAGAAACGGCTTTCTTCACAATGTCACCATAGATGTCATTAGCACAACCTCAGGCTCTTTAAGAAGCTCTGAAAGAGTGACAGCGGACCGAAGATGTCTGACCTCAGCCAAGTTGCAGTGTACTCAGACTCTTCAGATATCTACAAGGTGAGTGAGGATGATGGGATGAATGATGGTTGAAGGAGATGTGGAAAAGGTCACAGGGTTACTGAGAAATTAAGCAGGAAATTGTCAACCTATATGCAAACTAGACCCTTTTTATAGTCCATTGTGATCTTTGCTTTCAAAATGGAGGGCTTTTTTTTTTAATGGGTATTTTTTCCCCCTCTCTAAAATATATTGTTTATACGTATTTCTTAAACATTGTGGACCTGGAACCTTTTGTATGCCAGTTCGTCATGCACAGTTCACAGTCATTGGCCTTCAGTCCTGCTTTTATGCTGTTATTTGGACCATGTTAACATTTTAGGCTGGAAACCTATTTATCATTTATGCATTATCAATGTAAACGTTACAGTACTTTATGTTAAGCATTGGAATGTAACTAAGTATTATCCAAGTACCTTTTTGAAAAAATTAAAACGTACTAATTTACTTATTACTTACGATTTCCATGTTATGTTACTTTATTGTTTTCAACACTCTTATTCCTCTTTTCATTGGATGTCTTACTCCACTATTTTTATCTGACAGCTTAATTTACTTTTCAATTTTGTATACCCTTCATGTTCAATAAAACCTTGTATCTCTATATGTGTTTGATTTGAATGTTTTTGGTACACTGAAGGGTGAAGTGTTCCTTCATGTGTAGAGAAAACTCTTCTTCTAGATATATTTACCATTCAAAGAAAGTCCTGGGTTTAGCTGGAAAAGCTACAAAAAAGCATTGCCGTTATACTATTCTCATAAAAGGTTAAACTACAGAGTATATGCAGGAGTTCAAATGAGCACAACTTCAAGCACTCACAGTAGTAAGATGCAAGATATTAATGCAGTAGTGAAATTAATCCAAAAACATTGTATAAGGAAAAAAACTGACAGGGAACATTACACTGTTGCATTGTGTTGATGAAAACATAACAACCAACCTTCAAACAAAAGTTTTGAATGACCATACAGTAAACAGAAAATAATTAGCAAACTGACTTTTATAGATTAGTTATACATCAATGTCTAGTTTGCTAACAGTAACAACCATAAGCTACCAAACAATGTAAAGCTGCAGCGGCAAAACCCTTAAGCACATACAAAAAATGATGATATGTTTCTTTGTTAACTAATTCATCTTTATATTTAACAAAATAAGATTATTTACATATACATTGTTTAAATTGTATACAATCTTGCTTTTAAATGAGCACTTCTTAACACAAATGTTGTCTGTAACTGTATGAAGTTTATTTATTGATAGTTTCATGACTTCTTTCTGTTCCGCTTTCCACAGAATGTGTTCTGCAACCCTGCCTTTGAGCTGGAGGGGGAGCGAGAGGAGCGGGTGGAGGGATTCAGGACATCCTCGTCCACCCCTGAACCAATCAAACCGCCGGCAGCTAGTGAGTCAGCCAATCAGCTTGCTGCTTACTGTATCTATGCTTGAGCTGGATTAGACTGTGTATGTGTTTTGGATTGGTTACATTATTGCATCACCTTAGACTCTGCTGGCTTTAAGTTCAACTCTCGTGAAGAATAGTACAGAAGTGTGTGTTTGTTAACAGGCCAGAGGAGTAACCCCTAGATTTTGTATAGATCAAAGATCCGTTCAATGGATATGGTTAGTCCCAGAGCCAGTGATAACACTTGTAAAATGTATTTTCTTGCTCTTTTTCTTAAAAAGTTATAAAAGAAAGCCTGTAGAGGAGAAGACATGGGTGACTAGCAGGCATGTTGTGCTTATGAAAGACACCACTGTTGTATCATGGGAAATAGGGCCCTTACATCCAAGGAAGTAAAAGTATGATGGATTTGGTCATCATTCTTTCAAACTATTTCTCAAAAATTCAACAACTCCATGAAAGGGCAATACAAATCACACTAACTGAAAACAGTAAATAATTAATCAAACAAAAAAAATTACACATTTAGAGCAGTATTTTGTCCGGTTGCCAAGCCCGGGAAAGTCTAGTAGTGTATTTTCAGCTTTAAATCTTAAATCATTGTAAAATGTGAGAGAGAAGCATTGCTCGGATTGTGGAAAGTGTCTAAGCCTTGGAGAAGTTGACAGCCTTCTTTAATATTACATATGATGCATATTGTAATACCAATTAGTTGTTAGCCAAAGAGTAGACATTTCAAGTGCCTCTGACTTCACATACCCATATAAGTTGAATGTGTGCCCTGTAATTCCGGTCCAGGTTGGGGTCTGTTGGGGGTGTGTGCGATGCGTCTGCGGGGCCCAGGGCTGTGGCTGGGGGGTGGCGGTCTCTGCTGCTGCCCTGCTCCTGGTAACAGCCCTCGGACTGGCGCTGGCTCTTCTCCTCACGCGTGAGTTACTGCTGCACTGCGATGTCACAGTGAAAAATAAATACCTGAACTTGATTTGAACAGCTTTCGAGAGAACAATAATACATTTATTAATTCAGGTTGCATACCTAGATGTGTTCCTATTTGTAATGCAAAAACATACTGTATCAGGACTTTACCAATACAGCACTGTTTTTCTATCTGCAATAAGCCTTTTCTCTGCAGTCTCCCTGTAATGTTTCCATCCATTACAGTTGTTGTTTTCTGGCCCTGATTTAGAGATAAAAGGCCAGGCAGTGGAGAATGAGTTGATGTCCACCACTTCTCCAAATCGGCTAAATACAGGATATGAAGCGCCACATATTACTCTACCCACAATCTCTGCCAACACAAGTCAACAGGAAAGTACAACAGCACCACAGCCTGCTAGGATCCCACCCATCCCACCTCCTGAAACACGTAAGTGATTACAATAAAATGGCCATTTAGTGTGTTTTATAAAATACTAAATGTGCATGTTCATGTCCATCCTCACTGAATAACATTTTGTTTTTCTTTACTTTGAGGCCCTTTTGCTTTCTGTAACTAAAATAAAGTGTTCCTTCTCAGGTTGCGGAGGGGTGTTGTCCGACTCAGAGGGCAGTTTCAGTACCCCAAACCACCCTGGCTCCTACCCCCCCAACTTGCTGTGTGTGTGGGTGATCCGAGTCCCACCCTCCTCCGTGGTGCAGATCCACATTTTCTCTCTGACTGTGGAGGGGCCTTCTCCTTGCCTCTTTGACTGGCTGGAGGTTCAGGAGCAGAGGGATCAGAACTCTGTGGTAACCAGGTTGGTCCCACTCCAGCTATATCTGGGAATAGCCTACTGCAATGCCAAGTGTACTCATTTAAAAGCCCCATGCTTCTGTTTAATAAGACTTTGAACTTTGCACTCTAACTTTTTGGTTGCTTGGAAATGTTTCGATTGCAACCAGTCACTCTAAAGTAGAAAAACAAAGTTGTATACATGTGAGGGATAAAGAGGCAAAGTATAGAAATGTATTGTTGCAAGTACACTTTGGAGTGTATAGGTATGAACAATTAAATTAACCTCATTCATGCACAACTTTCAAACATTTCTGAACACATTCTTTTCTGAGGGAAAATTATAAGGTTCATTACCATTATAAATACTGTCTGTAATCTACAGATGGATCTTAAACTTGAAAAGATAGTTCCCCCGAATGACTCTGCATTGTGTCCAGTGCTGTCTGCGTGTAAAGGTTTTATCTGATTATTACTCAAAACAATATGCTTCTTTGATTATTGTTTTAACTTTGCACTGCTGCAACTTTTGGCAAGATCAATTGGACAAACCTGGTTGGCCATATAATGGCCATATAAATAAGTCAATATCTTAAATTGTTGGTAGATGGCACCAAAGGTCTGTGCAGAACAGAAGTGTGCTTCTGGGTACTGGGAGCTTCTGGGAAATATTTTGGTACATGTGAAAACGTTGACCTTTTTGCTTACTTGCATTCTGGGCAAGGGTTGTAATTGCCCACAACCCTTGGTCGAATAAAGGTCAGACTTGAGTGGCCCGTCCAAAGCCATAATTGCTCAAACGAAAGTTTAAGGTTATTCAAAAGGTCTATTCTCTTCCTGCAGGTTCTGTGGTAACGTAGCGCCACCGACAGTCAACACAAACAGCAGCACAGTGTGGGTCACCTTCCACTCTGACGGCAGCATCGCAGGCAGCGGCTTCACTGCGCAGTACAGAGCCATCCAGCCTGGACACAGTCAGTGTTGTTTGTACGCATCTGCAAATACAGGACTCTTTAACTCATGCCCTTTATATTTATGTGCATGTATGCTGTGTGTGTTCTCAGAGAGCTGCTCCAGGGAAGAGTTCATGTGTGACAGAGGGCGCTGTCTGCTGCCTGTGTCTATTTGTGATGGGCATATAAACTGCCATGACCAAACAGATGAGGCAAACTGCAGCCATAAACACAAAGGTGAGAGCATGCAAACAAAGGTAAAAACAGGCACTTAAAGCAAATGTATGGACTTTGTTTCCACCCTGCTTTTTCACAGAATGTGGAGGGCCAAAAACCGGGCCATATGGTTACTTGTCAAGTCCAAACCATCCCAGGCCTTATCCTCATCAGCAGGTCATTCTTTACGGCCAGACACATACACACAACACTTCTGTTTACAGGGCTTTGAAACGTGTGTTTCTCACTAACCCGGTGTTGTTCTGTGTACCATCAGTTGTGCGTATGGTATATATCTGTTGAGGAGGGTCACGTCATCACACTGAGCTTCAGGAACTTCAGTCTGGAGACTCAGGATGTGTGTGAGTTTGACTACGTGGAGGTACACGACAGCATCAATACTGGATCTGGAAGAGTACTGGGAAGGTGAAACCTACTACATCCACATGCACAATAACGTTAGCTCAAATTATAAAGTTCAACTGCTTTTACTGTCATTATTACTCCTGACAGGCAAGTAAAGAAAAGGACAAAATACAGTATAGTGAATATACAACATACATGTCCAAAGAAATAACATCCATCAGTGTTTCCATCTTGTCTTATCTCAGGTTTTGTGGCACCACCTTCCCACCTGACCTGACCTCCTCCGGCCCCCACATGACGGTGGTGTTTGAGGCTGATGATGGAGTGGCAGACAGCGGCTTCAACGCAACATACCAGGCATTGTCAATACTGGACCGTGAGTTCTTGCTTTTATAAAGCATAAAGTGCTTTTTATTTTCTTTCCCCACTCCCTTTTTCTTTGCATATGTTCTCCTCTCTTCTAGTGTTTTACTTCCTATTTGTTCTTCTTTGCCTTCCCTTCCTTATTTTCTTGAAATCCTACCTCTTTTGTAAGATCTCTCCCTCCGGTCCTTGCTTCCTTCTTTCCTTATGACCTACAACTTCTCTTCAAAAATTGGCAGTAATACCTGATGCTTTGCTAAACTCCCTTGGATGCCACAATTATTGTTCCTTTTCCCTACACATAAATGCTTTTGCTTCCTAAACCCCTCTCCTGTGTGTTTTGCCTTTATTTAAAAAGGGACATGTGGTCCCAGCCAGTTTTCCTGCAGTACAGGGGAGTGTCTCCAGCAGCAGTGGTTGTGTGATGGATGGAACGACTGCCCTGACGGAGCAGATGAGCAGGGCTGTGGTAACTCCACCTACCCCACCTTCAGTGAGTCCATCTTATCTCTGACCCCGATCAGCGTCCTGCTAGTGTCACATATACAGTAGCTTTTGTGTCCAGAGCCACACTTCGGCAGATTACCTTTGTATATTAGAGACTAAAAGTTTTCTGAATGCCAAATATAAGAGTACAAACATGTAAAATAAGAAAAGGGATGATTTATATTCCTCTTGCCCTCAGCTTCATCGTGTGAGTCCATAGAGGTAGAGATGTGTCAAGGCCTCAGCTACAACCTCACCTCATTCCCAAACATCTGGCTGTCCATTGCTGATCAGAGGGAAGCTGCCATACTCTTGGGACAGTACCGGGTAACAGCCGTCTTCACTACCTCTTTCTTTTCGCCACTGTATGATCTTTCAAACATTGGGCCTATTTCTCGGCTATAGCATCTTCCTACAAATGTACAGCTTCTTTCAAGGCAGACGTTCATCATCCCAACCACACAAACCTCTTTTGTGCATTTCTTTGTCCAGGTGTTGATGGAGCTGGCGTGCTTCGAGCCCCTGCGGAGGCTGGTGTGCGGGATGTTCTTGCCGCAGTGTAGTCCTCAGGGTGGGGTCCTCCAGCCCTGCCGCTCAGTCTGCTCCTCTGCAGAGCAGCAGTGCAGCCAAGCCCTGGACCTCTTCTCCTTCAGCTGGCCCTTCAACTGCCACCTCCTGCCGGACTCACAGGACCCCGTGGAGTGCTCGCTGCCTTGATGCAGCAAGAGTTACAGATGTGTTGATAGTTAAAGATAAAGACATTTCACACAGAATTGCAGCTTTGTTCGAGGGCCAAAAGGCCAGAATCTGACTCAGACCAGCTGTTGGAGCCAAAATGCATGTGTCTTTGTTTGTATTTTATCTGCACAAGTTTAATTAATGATGCAGTTCCAACATTGAACACAAGATGGAGTATTCACTTGTGAGTCTGTATAAATGTAATCACAGTGGGTGATCAGTGTGGGACGGTAGCAAACAGTTTTCGACCGTGTCGATATGAGCTGTGTTAACCTGTCTGTATCAGAGCGTGACTGGCAGGCGTAATGTTCATCGAATGGTAACAGAAAGGCAATATGGATACAATCAACATGGTGAATATATATGGAAAACAAAATAAAGGATATTCAAGGATATACACTCGGACATTGTTTTATCGCCTGGAACACACGTCCGAACTTAGTTCTCCCGTTCCCATCCCTCAGTGGCTTAAGTATGGATAAGGTTAAAAAGTCACTACACCAGCTGTTTCAAGAGTTGTAATGAAAGCAGTTTGACTTCTGGCATGACTGAGACCCTCATTACACAATGTGTCCTATACAAATGGTGGTGTATGCAGAACATGATGGCAAAGTAGCTTTAAAGTTAATAATAAATGAGTTTCATGTTTCTGTGTGATTCGCATACAAACTAAGCAAAGAAAGTGTTCAATCTCCCACCACCAGAATACCTTTAAAATAACCTGTATTGCATTGTTCATCAACACGCCACATGATGTGCTTATATTATTTCAGTATTTATAACAGTCCAGAATCATAAAAAGCTAAACTAAATGTGCATGAGCTGAATCACTGTTATAACTGGGCCCACATGATAAGACGTAACACCAACTAGCCTCATTTGAAATGCATAAGGAAAACGTTATCTCGGACTCAGTGATTTAACTTGTTTAAATACTTTTAATTGGTAACATAAGATTTCAAGCTGAATTGAAAAGGATGTGTACGGATTTGAAAATGAAAGCAGTCCAACAATGAGGTATAATAAAGTATAAGGATAGCTTTTCAATGTTGTTACTTCATATGTCTTCAAATTATTGAAAGATTTCCAACGCCAGCTCTTTATCAATGAGAAAGAAAGTGCACAAATGGAAAAATCCTTCTCCTTACTGGAGAGGACCTCACCTTCATAAATGAAATCATGAACCGATTCCAGCGCTGGATTGCACATTATTATGAAATCTTTAAGTCACATTAGGGGTGTACTGTCAAGTGTAAAGAAGTTGCTGCTAAGAAGGGATGATAAGTTTGAGGGTATGGTCTAGAGCGATGGCTGTCAGACCCCACACTCGATGCTTCCCGTTACGAAACACTGGGACGGTGTATCCATACTTGTTGCCGGTGCGGAAGTGTGTGTAGCCACGGTTCTGAGGGTTACACAAGTGGGACAAGGACAGGGTGAAAATCTCCTCCACCTGGGACAGAAACAGGCAAAGAAGGCACAGTTTACAACTTTGGATCGAAATAAAAACAAGCAGAAAACATGTGTTTTGAAATGCATGGAGGAAGAAAATGAGAGATAATGCCAGCTAGCTTAAACTGATTAACTGAGTATTAAGGTAGATGATAACCAAGTCAGACCTGGAGATAATTTGATACAAAACAGCAAAAAAAGAATATAATACCTATAAAGTTATTTAGAGCTGGCTATGATAGTGGTGTGACATCATAGACCTACAAAGATATATCAGCTCTTTACTAGTATCTGTTATAGAAGAAATTACTGAAATAACATAGCTGAAAAAAAACTAAACAGTAATATGGAAACCTGTCCCTCAGAGGCAGATATAACATTTATAAAATGCAAAACAATAGGATGACTGTACCTCTCCAGGGTTCGGTTTGAAGGACATCTCCTCGAGGGGCCCGAGGTTAACAAGCACAGGAGCTATCATCATGCCTGACTGGTGAGAGAGACAAACTACCTTTACAATCAGAGCAAGTCTCAGTATTCAGTGTGTGGGTGACACAAAAAACGTTTTTCCTTCTTAATTGTTAGGATATGTTTATCTGTGGCCTATGACAAAGCACAGTCTGTCTAATAGTGAACATAACGAGAAGTGCCTTAGGCCTAAACAGGCTACATTTAAGGCTAGTGCAGGGATAACTCTAGCGTTAGGTGAGTATTCAATTTGCAGATAATTAATAACAAACAATTGACATATTCAAGTGAGTGTTAAAAAAACAATCCAACTGTTTTATAGCATCGTAAATAGAATATTCCGGGGTTTATATATAGTCTATGGTTGCGACCGATAGTCCTAAATAAGAAGTCTTAGCATGTGCTCTTGTAATTTCTAATAGAGATCATTTAATATTTTCACTACCATCAACAGACTGATGGCATTGTTATTGGATGAATACTTTTTTAAAATCTCTTTACAAGATTTTTTAAAATCTCTTTACAAACCTCATAAAAAATAAACTTTTAAGAGAAGCAAATTGATTTAAAAGAATATTGAAAAGCAAAGTTTCTCAGTGGCACCCTACCACAATTGTTTTAGTGACTGCCATACATTCATAAACAGCAATAATTATATCATCACATTTTAAATGTATTATTTGATGTAGACATAACACTGCACTGACACCCACCATGTCCCTGAGAGGCTTCAGGATGCCCCAGACCTTCTCTGTTGCCACAGAAACACCAAGCTCCTCCCTGGCTTCCCTCAACGCTGTGTCCACCACATCCACATCTGATGGATCACTCTTTCCTCCTGCAAAACTAGGGGAAAAAAACTGGAAATAAGAACGGATGCAGCCTTCTACAGGAGTTCAAATGCAATTGATATCCTCCCACTTACCTGACATCTCCCTTGTGCCTGCCCTTCAGTGTGCTGGAGCGCAGAGTAAAGAGAAATGCAGGCTCCCCATGATCAGAGCACAGAGAAACTAGGACTGAGGCCCATCTCCCCTGGTTCTTTCCCTGGCTTGCCCGCTGTTTCCCCTTATCCACTTCGTACAGCTTCACATTGGGCCCCAGTCTCTGTCGACACCTGTTTTCATTCTCATGCGACAGACAATCTCTCCAGGTGTCGGCCACCTGAGGGGCAGCCTGATGGACGCCTCTGGTTTTGTGGGAAGAGAGGCTAGAAGGTTGTTGTCTGCTATTTAATTGGTTAAAAATCCATGGCCTGTGTGTCGACAAGCTGAACGATCTAACAAAGTGCTGTCTGCTATATAAATGGCTTTGAAGAGGGTTACACTGAGTCTTATCGGTGAAACTGAGTGACGGTTGGCTCACATCCCAAGCCCTTCTCCAGGGTTGAAGAAACGTTTTGTTGATAAAACAGTTCTGGTAAGTGCTCACAGTCTTGTGGTTTTCAACTGTAGCTTTCACTGCAGTAGATTTCAAAGAGGGATATGCTTGTTTGGCTTTTGCAGAGCCAGAAACCTGAGGGAGGTGATGATTGCTGGACAAACTGGCTTTGGATAGGAGGTTTTGAAATGAAGCATCTTTCGGATTATTACAGTCCACGTTACATAAAGGCAGCTGTGTTAAACAGGATACAGTCTCTGTGTTTAGTGATGACCCCTCCTTTCTTCCTCGGGTCGCTTCATATCTCCTATTCTTTACATCTCTTGCACCCTGCCATCCAGAAGCAGTGTGTTTAGACAACGCAGAGAAGGGAGATTCTCGTAATAGCAGCAATGGCCTTATGGGACAAGACCAAGTCAGGACCCAGCGGGCCCTAAACATCCTATAAAAAAAAAAATCACATAAAAGCATTAAAAAAGCAACATCATTTGCCAAATTCACAAACCAAGGGGAGTGAGGTGAGGGTAAACATGTGAGGTCAAACGACTGATCTGAGCGCACAAGTTTGTCCAAATTTAACAAGCACTATTGTAACACCAGAGTGGGAAAAAGTACTCAGATCTTGTACTTAAGTAAAACAAGTATAAGTACTAGATTGTATGCACTTGTAAATACTTGAAATACTCAAGTAAAGCTCAAGTCTCTCAAACTTAAGTACAGCACAGTAAATGTACTTTACAGCACTGTGTATGCCATCTCAGAATCAGATCAAAGCTGTTACGGACACAAACACTTATTTCATCTTAACGTGATTTCTGCAAACCCAAAGAGTGCAGCTCGTAAAACCTAAATGTGCTGAAGTTAATCAGATCAGCTGCTGTCAAATTTTGGATTACGAGTTACATCTGCTGGTTACAACTAGCTTAGCTTACTTTTGTTAGTTACGTTAAGAATATTTACAATGACATGTCATATTACGTTAAAGTGCCAGGCTTGTTAGCTTCTCAATTTACAACTATAACTAACACAAGCTGGTATTCGACATCATCTACTTGTTGTTCTACTGGCTCTGAAATCAGGTGTTAACATATAACATGAACAGGCTAACGCTAACTAGCCTGTTAGCAAAAAACAAATGAACCCAAAAGCTAAACCTTATATGTGGTCAATGGGACGGATCCGACAAGTCGAACAGAAAGGGAAGCGCAATTTGCGACATTAAAATGTAAGTTAAAAGAAAACACTCACCTTGAAAGTTGAACAGCAGTTGGCCTCTTACCCAGCTAGCCGGCTCAGCTGCCAGTAGTCAAAATGGCGCAGAGTAGCTTCATGAGCGTCAGAGTTGCCCTCACTGCGCTGTGGTGACCCGCAGGACTTTCTTACACAATTATTCCAACAACTCTTACCCTTTCTAATAAATAGAAAGCAGGGGTTGAGATATAATACTAAAGAAAAAGATGGGAGGAAATCATGATAGCTAGACTCAGAATAAATCACACAGCATTGAATGGTACGCTGTATATCATGGGGGAAAGTGACAGAGTGACAAGTGTAGGAACTGTGGCGTTAAAGCAAATGTAGAACATATCTTGTTACATTGTGACATCTATAAAGCTGAAAGAGAAAAACTAAACGCTAAAGTTATAGAGGCAGAGAGGGAATGGAGTGTGGTTGGTATTTTGGGAACAAAAGGAGAGGGAGTAAGAGCTACCAGAAAGGCACTGTTTACCTTTCTGAGTGAAACTGGGGTAGGAACAATAATGTAACATTAGGTCAGGAAAGATTATAGATTTTTATTTTGTTTTATTTATTTTACGGTTTTTGTTTATTTTTGATTAGATCATATACATATACGTCCATGAGTTAAGGGATGGAATGATATGATGATTCCCACTCATGTACAGTAGGTGGCGGTATGCACCTTTAAAGTTGTTTGCAATCTGCCAAAAACCGAGAGAAGAAGAAGAAGATATAATACTGACATTATTTACTGATGAAATCAGTTGTCTGCAATGTACGTCACTACTACTCAGGCCTCACAGGTGAAACAGCTGTCTAAATTGAACTCCACAATAACGAGGCCTGGACTAACACACATGTTCAAAATATTTAACAAGCCCTAACATCACTATCTGGCTTAATTTCGTAACGTTAATGCAAGATTTTTAACAGTATTTTTTCAGAGTGATTGACAGTACGTTGGCATTTAGCCCATATGATACCATTTATCATTTGACAAACTATAGGAAGCCATGGCCCCATGACATACACATTATAAACACCTTACCAGACCTGTTTTACCTCACCTTGAGTACGGCTGCCTCTGCTCTTAAGCAGCATAGTTTCATGTGAACTGGCATTTCAGCTTTGCCCTCTGCGAGTTTTTGCTTTAACTTAAAGCACTTGCATTATTTCTAGTTCTGACTATTTTTCTAGTTCATTAACCTATTTAAACAGGGGAACTTGTGGTTGTCTAACGTCCAGGTTGATCTCCAAGAAATACAGAATTATTCTACATTCCACCCGGCACCATGGCCTCAGCCTGGTCTGAAGAGGAGACCTTTGTGTGCTCAGTATGCCTGGACACCCTGAAGGACCCAGCCACTATATCCTGTGGACATTCATACTGCTTGGCATGTATCCAGAGCCACTGGGACAAGGGAAACCGCAAAGGTGAGTACAGCTGCCCCCAGTGTAGACAGGTGTTTAACCCTCGACCCTCGCTGGCTAAGAGCACTGTGCTAGTGGAGGCTATGGAGAAACTGAGAACAAACAGCCTCAGACAAAGCTCCTCCAAAGCTGTCTCCTCTGCCCCGCCATCAATGCCTATCTACCTGGAGGTCCTACCAGGAATAGGGCCGCGTCCGGGCAGCATGTACCCTCAGCTTCCAACAGTGGAGCCCAGGCCCTGCCCTCAACACAATCGACCCCTGGACCTGTTTTGCCACGAGGACAAGGAGTGTGTGTGTGAAGTTTGTTGCCAGCATGGACACGAGGGACATCGTGTGATCAAACCACAGGCAGAGAGGAGGGAGAGACAGGTATGTAATGGACAGGGCAAATATCAAACGGGAATATTATCAATACTCTTTTGTCCTTTCTATGTTTTATCTCATGTTGGTCAGAGAAAGTGCAGTTAAAATAATAACTGTGTTGTCATAAGTGTAGCATTTCCAAAATGTAGATGAACCTGAAGTACTTGTGAGTTGTTTTTATTGTGCATTCCTGTGTGGATGTGTTCTTACACTTCCTTAAGGATAAACTGCAGCTTTGCAAATGACCCACCTCAAAGTTCAATCTAGGTCACTGTCCTTCATGCAAAAGTTTATATTTCTATATTAATGTCCTTGTTTTCTTGCTGTGCACATACGGCACATACCCAGGTTTACAATACACAAAACATATAGTTACAGACAGTAGTCGGACATTTCCTTTCATTACACAATTACAAGTTATTTAAACACTCGCTCCTTAATAAAATATTCTGCCTTTTTATTCCAAGCTTGGCAAATGTAATCTTGACAGAAAAGGATCCCTTCCTCAACTACAACTCACCATTTTACTATAAAGTACATCCTTTATGTCCTCGTAGTCACCCAAAGGGGACTTATTTCTCAATTTGACCAAGACCACCAAACAATCAACGTCTGTCTTCTGAAATGGCATTAAAGTCGCAATTCTCCAGGCTAAAAAAAGAATTTAAACTGAAATGCCTTTTCAGTAATGTGTGTGTGTGTGTGTGTGTGTGTGTGTGTGTGTGTGGTGTGTGATGTTGTGTGTCTGTGTGTGTGTTGTGGTGTGTGTGTGTGTGTGTGTGTGTGTGTGTGTGTGTGTGTGTGTGTGTGTGTGTGTGTGTGTGTGTGTGTGTGTGTGTGTGTGTGTGTGTGTGTGTGTGTGTGTGTGTGTGTGTGTGTGTGTGTGTGTGTGTGTGTGTGTGTGTGTGTGTGTGTGTGTGTGTGTGTGTAGTGTGTGTGTGTGTGTGTGTGTGTGTGTGTGTGTGTGTGTGTGTGTGTGTGTGTGTGTGTGTGTGTGTGTGTGTGTACACACAGAAAGAGCTTAATCAGATGCAAGTAGAAATACAGAAGAGAATCCAGGAGACGGAAAATAGGCTTATAGAGCTCTCACATGCTGCCCGCCAACACAAAGTAAGAAGTTATGTAGTTTTGAGGAGAAACCTTTGAACCCATTCATTTTTTGATGTTTTGATTGTTAGAACAAACACATTTAAAATCCTTGTACCCTCTTCTCCTCCTCTTTGGGGATTCCGTAGGCCTTGGTGCAGGCTCTAAATCATGAGAGCACAGATGTATTCTCGGAGCTTGTCAAGACTGTGAATCAAGCAGGCATCCAGGTCGGTGAAGTCCTCAGCACCCATGAGACCTCCTTAGGTAGCCGGGTCGAAGGACAGATCCACAGACTGGAGCAGGAGGTGGCACCGCTGCGCTGGAAGAATGAGGAGCTGAGCAGGCTGAAGGACATGCAGGACGACATCTGCTTCTTGAAGGTAATTAGTGGTTGGGTGTGAACTATAAATAATCGAAACCACTTGATGTTATCATGATGCACAGAGAATAAGGTTCACCAGTAATGAAATTGAAAATCCTGTCTTATTGTTATACGTTTTGTCGTTTCTTTCTAAAGAATTTCTTCATCATGGAGCCGCTGGGTCAGACAGGTGCAATAGGAGAGTCGATACTGAATCAGGAGGAAGCGGTGATAGCCTCTGTTCGCTCTACCATGAAAGAACTACAGGAGTCAATACAGGAACTCTGCAAAGCCAGTCTGGCCAAGGTCATCACATTAGGTCAGTGTTTTATTTCTCTTCTCTCTTTCTTGCCATTCTTCTCAATTTCAGACATTCAAAACCTTCCTTTTTTTTGGTGAATCCTGATGCAGTGGCTTCAACATCCAATGATGCCTCAGCAGCAGCAGCAGCAGCAGCAGCAGCTAGCAGTGGCCAGGCAACCACAGGTGCAGTAACTTAAAATCAATCAACCAGTGTGATAAAAGCCCAGAACACAATCATGTTAAACAAAAGTTTGTATTAACTGTTTTACTCAGATACTATAGGTGTGGACTCGATGCACATGACTTGAACCAGAGTTGGACTCTAATCACAGTTGTTATCACTAAAGCCCCTGTCACACTGTCCCGAAATTGACACCCGATGGACACACGATAAAGGAAATGTTCAAATTCGGCTGTGATCGTAGCAACATCGGGCCATTCGTGAGGGCATCTAAGCCATCGTATGACCGCCGGTGGAGTTTCTCAGGCTCCGGCAGCAACTTTGTGAGCGGCAACTTCGTAAGGCACTCGTGAGGGCATCTTGTCAAATCGTGTCATCTTCGTGTTATCATCGGTGCATTCACCCTCACTCTGATCGGGGCGAATGCCCGATGGCACCGATGATAACAAGATGCCCTCACGATGGCCTTATGAAGGGCAAAATTGACACACAAATTCAACACGAAAATGAACCTTCGCAAGGTCCTTCGGCCATGCCAAAGATGTTGCCACCGCTCACGAAGTTGCTGCCGGAGCCTGAGAAACTCCACCGGCGGTCATACGATGGCTTAGATGCCCTCACGAATGGCCCGATGTTGCTACGATCACAGCCGAATTTGAACATTTCCTTTATCGTGTGTCCATCGGGTTGTTTTATTGCACAACAAAATCATGTAAACATATTATGTAAATAACCCAATTTGTGTTCTGTGAAACTAAAAAGGATATAATATATTATTTGAAGGAGAGTTGACAGGAAGTTGTTGTTGCTATGGAAACAACATTACGGAGAAAACGTAATATTTTCTACATATAAAGACGGATAAAGTAAAGAACAAAGTCTGAAGATATCAGTACAGTATCATAGTACTGTAACATAATTGTTTTTGGTACTTTCATTGCAGTTGTATGTCTTAAATGTAATGTAAATGTTGCCTTCGTGTGTGGTTCGGGGCCATCTTCGTGCGAAATTCACAATTCCATATTCGTGTGTCCATCGGGTGTCAATTTCGGGACAGTGTGACAGGGGCTTTAAAGGGGACCTATCATGCAAAATGCACTTTTGTACGTCTTTTATACATGAATATGTGTCCCCGGTGTGTCAGGGAACTCACCAAGTGTCAGAAAACACAACCCTCTCTCTTTTCCTCCATACCTAAATCTCTAAAAACGGGGCGGCAACAGATCTGTGGTCAGCTGCAGCTCATTTGCCACAGAATCAGCCCTTGCAAAAACAGGGCTGTAAAAGAGCGAAATGAGGCATGGCTAAAATGCATGATCTGTTTGGTATTTTGAAAAAAAAACTTCACAGACATGTTATATAGGTATGGCCTTCAATATATTATTCAAATATAGCATGATAGGTCCACTTTAAGACATGATTTGCTGAAATCT